TCCTAAGATTCTATGTAAGTATATGCAGGCTCTGATAAAGTGCTTTCACCCCGATCGAGTGCTTTCACCGGTTTTAAGCTTTTAACCAAGTGAGGTTACCGAAGGAACAGCTCTTCTCCTTACTAAATAGAAGGGGGGGGGGGGGGGGCTCACAGGGCAGCACTTTTGTCTGAAAAAGGAATATTATTTCTGTATCATTACACACAACACTTTTGCTATGTTTTATACACTATATTATTATTGTCATGTTAATTGTAGAGTGAAAAGCGGGAGACAACTCTACACCTAAACAGAATATTATGACGATCAAAGATTAGCCATGCAAAACTATTACATTTTTATGCTTTAATTGTATTGATAATGTTTATACACCACACCTTGTTGTGCCGTTTTTGTATAACAATTGTGTTATTGAAATACAAAAGTTTGTGTTAGTGCATTTTTGTATTATGTTGCATTTATAATAGATATATTGTATGTTGTGAAATTGTAAATGTGATTATTGAAATCATATTATAATTATTTATAAAAAATGGGGGTATGTGGTTTTATTTGTTGTACATTTTGATTTGAGCTTGGTAAGTCAAAGAACTTTTACCGAAGGCCTTTTGTCACAATATAGGTACAAGTATACTACTGTGGTCGTCTCTGAGAGCGCTGGTGCAAGTTTCAACTGATAAACCGATATGATGCCTGGACGTCAATTTTTTTTCACTTAAGTGTTAATTTATTTTTTATATTTTGATTTGAGCTTGGTAGGTCAAAGAACTTTTTAAACGAAGCTCTTTTGTCCCAATATAGGTAAAAGTATACTACAGTTGGTGTTTCTTGAAGTGCTGGTGCAAGTTTCAACTGATAAACCGATATGATGCCTGGATGTAAAGTTTTTTCTCTTAAGTGTCAAATAAACTTCTCACCAAAGCTTTCCCTTGACTGGAGACCCTATCCTAGACTAGGCACCCTAGTGACTCTGTTATTAGGTTTTTAAAGCTTTTTTTCAAAAGGCCATGTCACATACTGAGTTTGAAACTATGCTACAGTGAACTCTTGCCAATGACAGGCCGAATGTTTTTTTTTCTCTTCCTAAAATACATTTGTCCTAAAATGTTTCGAAAAATTGGAACCGAAACTAGTGAATGTCTCACTTGTACTATTTTAATAGAATATTATCAATACGCGAAACAGCCTTAGATATATTCGATATTTCTTTATTAGATATTTCTTATTAATCATAGACGTCGGTGGCGCTGTTGTATGTTCTGTCAGCAAGAATGAGAAAGTGGGATTTCTATACAGCAGAATTCTTTGAAATATTGCTGGTGTCCAATTAAAATGATAAAATAATAATATATAATTTTCTACTTATAACATCAGTTTATATTACTTAGGTTACCCTTTTTTTAGAGTAGAGTAGGAGTTCTTCTGCTAGAGTAGCAGATAGCCTCACCTGTCACCCTTAGGCCTGCGCTCATGGAGGACGGCGGTCGCTACTTAGGTTACCCTATAAAATCGGTTTGTAGAAACGTGGTCGTGTACACGTCAAATAAGTGTTAAGTTTGTGATCGAAAGGGCGAGTATTTGGCAGGCAACTCCAGTAATTTAGAAATCGATGGCCCTTATTAAAAAAGTCGGATTTACATTTTGAATATATTTACAAAAATGAATGAAAGAATTTTTTTTTTTTTTTTGTTCATCTTTAATACAGCAATCTGTCTCTTTATCAGGACATTAAGCGATAGATTGGGCATAAATTGGAAGTCGTGTGCAGGGATGCGGCCAATGCCGTACCCTGTTCTAGTTATAATGTGCTCTTATCACAGCACATCCTGGGGGATTCTGAGCTTTAGCCTACGGATTTTCAAACTGTTGTCCATAAGCGGTTGGGCCAATATATTTGGGTGGTTAGATATTCTGTCCCTGTATGCCTTAGTGTGTCTAGTTATTTCCTCCCTGATTGTAGGCATCTTCAGATCGTTGTGCAGTTGTTCGTTAGTCACAAACCATGGGGCACCAGTAACTATGCGCAGCATTTTGTTTTGAAAACGTTGTAAGATCTCTATGTTGGAGTGTGAGGCTGTTCCCCATAGTTGTATGCCGTACGTCCACACAGGTTTGAGGATGGCTTTATATACTAGAAGTTTGTTTTCCCTTGATAACTGGGATTTACAACCAATGAGCCAGTAAAGTTTTCTCAGCTGTAGACCAAGCTGTTTTCTCTTGGTAAGAATGTGTTTCTTCCAGGTAAGACGTTTATCGAGGTACAGTCCAAGATACCGCACGTGATCTGCCCGAGGGACTTCTACGTCATTCAACGTCACTGGTGGACAGTGCTCTCTTCGCAGGGTGAAAGTAACGTTGACCGACTTGCTTTCATTAGCTTTGATCCGCCACCTTTTTAGCCAGTCGGCTATGTTATTCAAACCTTCTTGTAGTAGTTTGGCTGCGATTTCTGGCTGACTATGGGTGGCCAAAATGGCTGTGTCGTCAGCAATATGAAATGAAGCAATAGAATGAAAGAAATGAAAAAAATTTGAATATTATATAGATTCTGAATAATAATTATTTTCAATAAAAAAATTACAAAATAATAAGTATAATAGGCATGTATTTACATAAAGAAAAGTATATAAGTATTCTATCAATCAATCTAGCTTTCATAGTCTAGCACTGCTTAGTTTGAAACTAGGTGGCGTTGTGTCAGATGTTCGAAATATGATATTATATTTATATAATATTATTTCATAATAAACGATTATTTGGTATGTAGTACTATAACATACCAAAGAATCGTTTTTATCGTAAATCCGACATTATTAATAATAATAAATAACATAATGACCATCGAAAAATTGATTGATTTACCCATGGCATTTAAGATAAATAGTTAAAGTGAATCACTTTCGCTTAAAAAATCAGAATTGGGTATAGTTATGAATAAAAAAATCAACATTCGTAAAATTCGTATTTTATAATATTGCCTTCAAGTTCAAATATATGGGGATGTATACCTTCTAATAACTTAAAAAAACTATTTAGTCGAAAATAACAATTTAATTATACTTATGATGCTAATGTGTTTTTTTTTTTTATTAAGGCACAGCTTCAACGGTTACATGTATTGCTGTTTATCAATTTATTTAATAGAATAGTAGTAGATATATTATCAGGATTTTTTAAATTTCTACATAATAAAATTCTATGTATAAAGTTGCAGTTTATGCTGTTATACATTTTTCATCTAAGAGCGGGTTTGCATTACGTCTGATCTGAATCCGTGAAAATACGATCCGAAGAAGTCGTAGAACTATTTCCAAGGCCTGCTAACGCCCTAGATCCGACTTCCGTCATCCGATCTCTGTTTTTTGTATTTACTTATATTACTTTGACGGACCAAAGTAGCCATACTATTATTTGTATGATCACACCGAGAATTCTTTACTTCTTCTGTGTCGTTCGTACGTACTATAGCATTGCCAGAAGTTGATGCCGATCGCAAGGGAGATGCCCTTTATACCCCCAATATTTCTCGGGAAAACGTCATCGAGAGTCGAAAAAAACTTGTTGCTGAAATTGAAACTTCCTTGGAGGAGGTTTCAGTTTGGGGTCGACTAAATCTAGTCCTTTTTGAACCAAAAAAGACAGGTTCGAAAGAAGATACCGTTTGTCATATCACCTCGGCTTGAGAGCACCCTCCTATTGCCTCAGCCAGTATCAGGATCCTAGGCATCGACATATATTATGCTTTTAGCATACGTCATTTTACGCGGAGCGTTCACGTGGCCGGTGACCCATAAATTGCTTGGATTACAATCAGAGATCGCAATAGTGCGTAAACAATATACGTATACACACTAATAACAATATAGTCACTCAGTCAGCCTTCTAAATCCGTAATCACGGATCAGAAATCGAAGGTAGTGTGAAAAACAATTTCCGAATTCAGTCCGAGATTTCTAGATCCGTACTTTCACGGGTTCGGATCGGACGTAGTGCGAAACCGCTCTAAGTCAGAAAATATTTCGTTAAATATGTATATCTAGTCCTATGATAATATGGAAAACACAATTATTGGCAGAAAACAACTGTAGTTATTATAATAATTATAAGCCAATGGTGAATGTGTGTCATGAAAATAATTTCAATTCAAAATTTTAACACCTTATTGTTCTATTGCTAATAATGAATAGGCACAATCATAGCTGAATATTTTACAATAAATATATTATGTAATCATAGCTGAATATTTTACAATAAATATATGTGTAATATTTGTTATTTATATAGTGACTGTTTTATGTTAGATTTTTAATATAATTAATAATTAACTTGTAAAAAAGTAATATCAACATCCATTCACATATGTAGTGATAAATTTTAATATAATGTATTCTTCATCTCTTAAACTTCACCCTATGGGGTATAGAATTTTACCTTCATATTTGAATAGGACCAAACGGAAGTATACCCTTTCAAATAAAAAAGAACCCTTCAAATCCATTCCTCCATCAGCCATCCATTCATAAAAAAAATACCTCCTTTTTTTAATTTGATAAAAAATGTTCAACAATCTACTTCATAACAAGTCCCACTTATTCACATGTTGTTTTATACATCTCTCTCTGGTCAGTCCCTCATGTCTGAGGATTGTGGTCAGTATCAGGGTTACACCTGGAATGGATGATGTCTCTCCACCGGTTCCCGTGCAGCTTGTCTCTCAAGACAGTGTTTAACTTGAGGGACAATGGGTCTTTAACTTGGTCCACCATCACCACCTTGTTGGTGCACAACAGTTTTATACATAAAACATACACATTTAAGAGTCTACATAAGAGGAGAATTCTCCTTTTACATAAAATCCAAAAATCAATCATAGGCGTCAACCAGTTAAGATTAGAATATCACAATCATCAATCAATTGATCATAATTTAGCCTGATCTGAAGATTCTACTTTCATATTTAGGTCAGAGGCACATCACACTCTATTCATGATTAAAACTATTTAAAATATTCTGACAGGAAGAGAACCATACAAAAGTTGTCTTTGAAGTTCTTCTGCTTTTAACGTACCATCAATACTAGCACAATCCTCATTAAACACACTGTAAGCAGAAACCTCACCTCTCTTCTTTGGCTTTGTCCGAGTATTCAAACATATACCTATTAAAACGGTAACACCAAAGTACACAGCACCGAATTGCAATTTTATAAAGTAAATAAAAAATGATAACCATATTATTGTATAAGCTGAATATTTGATGATGCAGTATTGCCATGATACAGGATTTTCTTCTTCCAAAGTTTCAGGTTCACTAACTTCAGATATAACATCACTGACTTCAGTAGTAACTTCGTTTAACTCAGGCGTGTATTTACTAACTTGAGGAATAACTTCATTTAGTTTCTCTTTTATTCGATTTGGTTTTGCCGGTAGTGGTTCATCATTTTCAATCTGAAACAATTTATCATATACTATAGTATTACAGGAGACATATTAATTTTGCTTTATATATTAACATTTTTTTCTGTTAAAAACAAAACTGTTGGCAGATAGTTCTTTTTGTAAAATTAACAATTTTTTTTTATAAAAATTGAAAAATGTACTTTTAGAAAATAGGAAAATAGACAAGCAATTAAATCATTTTTTAGTATTTTACTATGCCTCTACATATTATTTATATGAGTTAAAAAATGTATCTATACAATATATACATGCTCTATAACAAGTTATGCTTATTAGTTTTGGTCTAGCTAGAAACATTGTAGTAGCCAGTGTGTAAGAGAAATTTATTTTTATATCTGTATAACTTACTCAGCCATTCTTAAAGGCCTAGCTGTTTTTAACTTAGAAGAATACCACACAACCAAGAATATAATACTTTTTGATAGCAGAGATCATCTCAGAGTAGCAGTAAACTACAAGTAAACTACAAGGACAATAAGAACAGTAAAATAATATACAAACCAATAAAACTTCCTCTTCTTGTATGCCCATGTTTCTAAATATTCTTGGAAGTAATGAGTTAGTTATCTTTCGTTTTGATTTGTCTATCTTGTCATTATTGTTATCTTTAGATTCTTTTCGAGAACGCAATGAGCGAAATTTTTTGAGTTTCGCCTCCATTCGTTAACAAGGGCTATATAGCTTTTTGAACGTATGTGGTATACGACCTTTACATAGAACACGTATACTTTACTAGAAAATATACTTAGAAATCGTAAATAACTACATGAATGTTTTGAAAAACATAAATAAATTACACGTCAACTCTTGGTTGACAGTTGACACTTGTTGGCAGATTGAAGTTGTTTGTAGCGAATGGAAGTTAATTCGATGAATGGTATAAGAAATAAATCTTGGTTATTATTATACATCCTACAAAATGATCAACTTTTTAAGACACTACTTTCTTCTTTTATCCAATATTTTAATACACCAGTGTGTCACAGTTTTAATATCCAAATTAAGCGGCAACACCCGTTAAGGCGCGAAGTCCGATCGATATCATCGGCTCGGCAGACTTCTGGATTTCATTGTTTACAATTACGAAAATGAGTACTAGGTACTTAAACATTAAATAGTGTTACTTATTAAAAGAGTGACGTAAATGGAACATCAATCTGAAATGGGGGCTTATGGAGAAAATCCTAACGTACAAAATAGTGGAAATTATATAACAATAATTCCAGTTGATTATTCTCGCAGGGGGTATCCCATGCAAGCTGAATATCAATACAAGTAAGGAAATATTACTGTTGCTACTAATGATACATTTAGTGATATATCCACAAGTAATTTTATATTTCGGAGTAAGTATTTTTATGTTTCCGTTACAATTTACATACACTTATATTTTAGTGAATTTAGATCTCGAGAAGAGTATTATAGTGTCCAGAGTCAGAAGCTTCAAGCAGAAGTGAACGCGCACTTGTACTCAGTGTCACAGAGACTGCCGCACTTGTCGTACAGTCCTTTGGGGCGGCATAATGAGTGGGATAAACATGACCCGCATAAACCACTGCAACCAGATTCTAAAGAGAGCAACAGTTCGGATTCGCTTGAGAAGAGTGTTATGGGTAAGTAGGTAGTTGAAGATTATTTAATATATGAATATAGGTACATGTAACATAATAATATAACAGTACAAATAAATTAATATACTTAACTAGTTTTAACAAAATGAACTATTTACAATATTAATTATATTTATTTAGGCGATGAGGATAAGAAGAAACTAGATGGTCACGCCATCCCATAATTTTAATCGGTATTTATGTTTTTGAACCGTTTGGAGTCCGAGTTCTCGTTCTAGTCATAGAGAACTAGCTTTTGCCAGCGACGTAGCCCGCGTGGTGGTCGACATCAGATATCGTAGAGGATACGCTACTACCAAAAATAACGAATTTCCATTTGTTCAAAATTTTATGCTTCTAGACTCAGCGGTTTCAGCTGTGCGTTGATTGATCAGTCAGTAGTGAACCAGTCTGTCAGTTTTTTCTTTTATAATATTTATATAGACTAGCTACGCAACTAGGTAATTTACGCTTATCGTGACCAAAAGGCGGGCTTCTTCTAGCTCAGAGAACTAAGTATTGCCATTCAAAATAGCAATACTGCGAGCCTTTTGGGAACGCTTTCAGTGAGGAATTTATTGACGCTCGCATATGAATAGTTCATGTTATGTCAAAAGTATATTAATTTATTTCTAGGTATATTTTAAACTAGTATCAATGAAAATTTTATATTAATTCCTACTTTCTTGGTGAGAGTATAATGTATACAGTTGCATACTACGTCGAATACTTTAATGTTCTAATTCGATAGATATGTGTTATGATTACAACCTTTTAGTCGTCTGTCTACCAAAATAATAAGGTCAAAGTTACCCCGAAAATATTTGCTTTTTTCGAGGGACCAGACATATAAAATCGTCAGCAACTAAAATGTTTTAAAATTCGAATACAGTTTAAGTAAAAAAATTTGAATACGAACAAAATAATATTCAAGAGATGTTAATAATCAAGAGATGTTAGCATTAAAATCCGTCTACCTACAAAACATTTTTTTTTCTACGAAACAATCTCGTAAGAGCACGCTTAACTGGCCTTCCTACTTTCAGGGTCCAACCTTAGCAGTTGTTCCAATCAGACAGGATCGAGTAGCATAGCAGCGGGTTCCTTCAGTACTACGGAACCAATTACCAGTGGAGGCAGTTCGTCCAGCGCGATATCACCGCCGTTACCAGGTTTTACTAGTTTCTGGTTTCGATAGCTTGTCTCTTTCTCTCGTTTTATGATTTATCCTGCAAAAAGATATCTGTCTCATCGGTCGACAAGTACGAAAGTTCTGAGGACACCGGTCTGCTAATTGTTTTGATAGACTGCTTAGATTCACTAAGCCTTGTACTGAAAAGCTTCTGCATATTTTGCAACTTCTAATTTCCGACTTCTTTACTTAAACGTAGACGAAAAACGTATTAAAAAAGTTACTGAAACAGTCTGTTTAAAAGAAATGTCCATTAATATTTTTTTCCATAAGACTAATCAAAAGAATTTGTTTCTTGCCATTCATTTACAGGTTCATCAGGCAGCACAGCTTCATCTTCCACCGTCTCTTCAAACCCTGTGACTTGCATTTACTTGATGTCTCGAACAGCCGTCATGATAGAGATGAGTTCTGAAGAAGTACCGACTTGTGTGACAGCCTCCAGATTCCTTAATGCGTTGTTGGCGACTGAAGAACTAGGCCTTTCTCAGCCAAGTACAAGGAGTTTAGCTGCCAATGTGTTCGCATTATGGATGTGTAGTCCGCTGTTAGGTGATAGTCGATGCACTATTTTGAACCAATTAAAGCCGAGAGAGATACCGCATAAATAAGGTTGTTGAACATTACATGTCCGTGTAGTGACGGATTAAGAATACGGAATGTCACTACCCCAATTCATTCTGTGGGTGTCGTAAGAGGCGACTAAGGGCGCAAAACAACGCAGGACACCAGCACTGCAAAAAGAACGAAAACTTGATACAATCCCTATACCAACCCGTCTGGCCAGCGTGGTATAGTAGGCCAAAACCTTCTTTCTAAGGAGAGGCCTATGTCCAGCAGTGGACTATTAAAGGCTGTTGATGTGATGACCTTGTGTCGACAACCCTATTTATATTGTATGCGCAGAGTGGCACACCGTGTGGTTTTAGTCGGTCCGATTCCGACACACCACCCCGCAGGAAACCCAAGTAGGGTGATGGCCCGAGGGGGTTTCCACAAGTAAAAAAAATAAAAAAAAAGGTTAGAACAGTGACCATAAAAGAGCCTGCCGAGCGCCAGATCCCCTCTATTCTTAAAACAGTGTGATGTTGCGGTCAAAATTACTTTTGACTGATTTTGCCCGTTGAAAATACTTTTGACCGATTAAAAGTTCCGAATGTAACTTATACAAGTTCATAAATTCCAGAAATCCAATTGAAGCCCCACCACTGTCCTTGGAAGTTTTGGGCCAACTGGCAAAAACTGGTGAATCGTTACGGTCACGGCTCCGAGTCGAGGCGAGGTCGTGACCAACCCGTGTTGAGGCTACAGAGAAACGTTTTCTTTCCGAAACTTCTGGAAGAGGGCATCAAGTAAGTTGAATTTAATGTTCGTAAATGTATGGCAGCTGAAATAAATCCAGAGAGTTGATTCTATAGAATGTTACAGAAAGTTGTTTTCGAATTTCAGGAGTACTATCTGTAGGCAAATAAAAAGTATCGTTTTTCCCCCCATATTGTTTTTTTTTGTATTTGTGTCACGAATCTGTGAAGAATACGGGTGTCACCACCCCTATTCATCCCTCTGGTGTCCTAAGAGCCGACTAAAGGAGCAAAAAGCTAAAGCTTGACACAAACCCTTTACCAACCGTCTGGCCAGCGTTTCCTTGAATACATATCTCGACAAAACTTTGCTTTTTATTTGTTTACGCTGACATTTCAGAAAATCCTAGATATTCTTTTAACATGTGTGTTCATGACACCACACCTGTCTGTAACACACTGTATAATTAAATAGCAAAAAGAAATCGTTTCTTGAGGAATAATCAAATATTATCGTCATCCACGACGCACAGCTATTGCTATTTACATACATATTATTTTGTATTGAGTATTGGCTGATTCGTTTGCGTGAAAGTATTTTATGCGTCTCTCGGTAGTACTTTTTATGAGTAATACAGGCATTGAAAACAAACCCACTTACGCATTTAATAAATGAATTTGTCGGATTTGATAGAAAAAGGAGCCTTTAGGATTTTTAATGAAACCAAAATTCACAAGTGATATATTATCGTTGCTTTTCACCGAGTGTGTGAGGTTACCGGAGTATCTCAATCCTTCTCCCTCTTCCTTATTCTGTCCATGGACGGTGGTGGTCACTTACCATCAGGTGATTCGTTTGCTCGTTTGCCATTTTTTGGGATCATTTGGGATCCTTAATTGTTTTCTATTGTATTTGTATTTTCCTGTTTCGGATGTACTTTGAGTTATTATTTAGGTACCAGGGTACAATTCACCACGGACCGGCAGTGGTCTCTTATTCTATGTGTAATGGTATGAAATAGATTGTGCAAATATTTAAACGCAATGACTATGAACAAATACTTGCCCAAATCGTTACAGTATGTAAATAAACCTAAAAGGCAAAGGTTGTTTTCGAGAAAAAATATTCTAATTTCCATCGAAACGATAATTCAAGGCAAAAAATTAATTAGGTACAAAGTATTTAAAAAAATAACGTTTTACTAAAAAACATGCTCACAATTATAAGTAAGTGCCATAATAAAAATGATAAAAGTTTAATTTCTCCAGGGATTCTCGCATTCAAGAATTACTGTACGAAGAAGCTCGGCACAACGTGGTAACAGGACGATATCCTCTCGAGAGCGCCCAGGCTGTCATGCTCGGTGGTCTTCAGGCCAGAATACAGCTGGGTCCTTACGACCCACACCGTCATACAGCGAAGTTCTTCAGGTTTGATATTTATATGGTATGGTTTGATCTCAAACTTAAGTAAATCAGTTTAGTTGGCCTATTAGACTTTCGTGCCCGAGATCTAGCCGGAAAAACTATGCCCACAGAGATTTTGCCTGATACATGTAAACGGGACAAGAATTGTATTTTTTTCTAAGTAGGTATCCTATTTTACGATAGCTGTAATTATTTGAACTATAAACTGCAACAACAAACGATAACTTGAAATTTTAGTTTTTTTTAAATACGTACATAATTTGCATATCTGTCTTTTTCAATCTCGCGAGTGTTGTTTCATATTTATTTATTTATTTATTAGGGATAACAAACAATAGTACAATATTCAATAATAATTAATATTATTTTTAGGTACAAATGTGCTAATTGTACTACCAACAGCATTATCCACTTTTTACTATACACAATGTTATAATAAAATATATGCTCCGTTATGTAAATAAACTACAGACGCTAAAAGTTAAAGGTTTTTTGTTGAAGTTGAAACTATTACAACATATATTTATGGAACTTTCATGGTATTGATTGTTTTATTATTAGGATCATGATCAATACATGTGCGTATAACAAGTAAGTTTTATTTCGGAAACAAGTGATATCCGTTTTCTATTTTAATCAATTTCTAGGTTATTTTCAGGGTTTATTGATTCAGTTCTATTCATACGATTAAAAATTTTCATAGAAAAAATATTATTATATGGTATTTATAAAAGCTATTTAGGGTTAGGGTTAGTTTGACAATGTTCAAATACACAGCAGTTACAGCTAGGGACGGTAGCCAATGAACATGTTTACTCAGGGCCCAACAAGACAAGTACCTGCCTGTGCACGCGCGGTCCGGTCGGTGGGCGTCGCTGCTGCCCGCGGGGCGCAAGGGCAGCGCCGAGGCGCGGCTGCTGGAGCAGGCGCAGCGCCCGCCCGCAGCACCGCCGCGGAAACTGCGCCACAAGTACCTGGCGCACACGCGGACACTGCCTACCTACGGGTATGTCAAAACTTGGCTGGAAAACTCAATCTATAATCTTAACGGCGTAATGGCGTAATGGTTTCAGGGTATGGGTTATGGGTAGTGTTGTAGGTCCGATCCCCACATGGGACGAGACTTTGTGTGATCAACAAATTGTTGTTCTGAGTCTGGGTGTTCTGAGTGTCCGTTTTATGTATATTTGTAAAGTCCCCCGCGACACAGGATATATTCGTTTGTAGTATCTCCTCGGTTCGAGAGCACCTCCCTAACTGCCTCAGGCAGTATTGCAATCCTAAGCATCGAGATATCGAGTTAAGTGCAGTTTCGCGGACATTTAGAGGGTAAGGTCAAATTGGCCTCGAAGAAACGTAGTGTGCTGAACAGATCAATCGAGTCCGTATTTCACTCCAGCCCATCGCCTCCAACCCTATAAGGCGCAAGTCCGACCGCATATGGAATACTGTTCTCATCTCTATGCAGGGTCACCACAGTACCAGCCTCTCCCTCTGGACTCCAAATAAGAGCGACTTCAATCGTCGATAGCCAAAAGATTTGCGACCTACTCGATTTTATTTTCGTACATTCTTTCAGAGCGGCGTTCTTCCAAGGTCAGATCGAACAGCCGGTTCGTAGCCTGACTAGTCTGCTGACTCACGAAGACATCCCCGTGCTGGTCGCTATCAACTCCAACGGCGTTTACGTCATCGATGACACTGAGAGCGTTAGTACTTGGTTAATTTTTTCTAGGTTTTTAATTTTTTGCAAGGATCTGGCCAGAAATAATTCTGTGCTGGATTCCTGATTAAATGTTAGAACTTACGTACCGTTAAAAGTAGATCAGTTTAATGTCAGCTTTAGGAATTCTAATTCTAACTACAAACCATTTATAATTCCGACGAATTATCAAAAAAAAAACAGTTATTCCACAGTTAATCTAGCTTCTATGAGGCTATTGTAAGTTTAATGAATCGCACTGGGAATATATCCTGTGTCGCCGGGATTTTACCTATATACAGGCAGCAGATATAAAGAACACCTAGACTTAGCACAACATTTTGTGGAGTCATGTTACAACATCAATATCTTCAGATATTGGAGCAATTTTTCACCAGCAGCTCAGCCACTTATGATATTTATTTATTTATTTATTTACAAAAGGTACAGTTACAGAATACAGACCAGGTAGTGCTTAAACTTACTTATAAATATTCATAACATTTTTTAATCTGCACTCCAATTACTACCGTACACAGCTTTCGGGATTTATACAGCTTCAGAGTAAGTGGAGGTTACAAAAATAAACAAGCATAATACAAAGAAATAAAATTAAAAGAATATAAAAATAATTTAAGCATGCAGTCAATACACGCACATGTCAAGGTGCATCCAATTGCCGCAAAGATTCCATAAATCTGCCGTGACTACCAACAAATATATCAACATCAGAACAAATATCATTATATTGTCTACACATTCGAAACAGTGGACTATTTTGAGACACATTATTGTTGCATGTTGGTATACAAAATAGTTGCTGAGTACGCACAGATCGAGTAGGTACCTTGAAGTGTAGCTGACTTAAGAGAGTACTATTAAATGAGCCATTCAATATTTTGTACAAAGTGGACATGTCGCTCATCCATCTCCTATCCAATCCGACCATGTTAAAGTAACGAAGTCGTGCCTCGTATTCAGGTATTTTACGTCTTAAGCCGCATTTCATGCATAAAGCTCTGACAAACCGCCTCTGTATACTTTCTATTCGGTCTGAATGGTTTTTGTATATCGGAGCCCAAACGGGCAAGCAGTACTCAATAATACTTCTTACTAAAGCATAGTATAGGATTATCAGTGAACTGGCTTGCCTAAAAGGTTTTGCATTCCGGAGTACGAAGGACAACATGCGGTTAGCCCTATATATTTTATTTATCTTTTTTACAGACTGTTCTGCTAGGATTACAGTATGAAGAACTATCCTGGGACATAGGACTGCCATCAGATGACAACGAGGATTGTCTACCGTGTTTGTTCCTCCAGTTCATGGTTGTGGAGAACGGGCTGCGGGTTTCCAAGATACTTCAGGTAAAAATTAATATTTGTTTGTGTTATGACTACCAGGTTGGTTTCTTCGACATCAAACTCATCGCCGTTAGATGGGTTACAGGACGTAGTTCACTCATTTGTAGTAATTTAGCTTTAAAAAATTTTGCAATTAATCGTTTTAATGCCCTGCCATTAACAATATCATCAAGATTAGTAAAAGATTTCTGATTTGCAAAATTTTCTATTCAGTGACAATTCCTACTAACGTTGTTCGATCCTTTTAGTGTTAGATGATATCTATGTAAAACTTTAGAAAATGAAATCAAATCATACGAGCAGTAAAATAAGTTATCGAATACACACTTACGTCTAGTTACAGTATTACCTAAACAAATAATTGATTATACCGGGATTAATTTAGGAATCAGTTGAGAAAATTCAAAACAAAATGAGTGGATAGGAATGTTTTCCTTCGTCCCTTAGAAGGGATGTTGCTTACAAGAATGGATTGGGGAGTGAAGGCCATAGTCGACCGGATCAGGGTCACATACCACATCGTAACTCGACAGTCTATATATATATCACTTTGTTGGCGGTGTCTTCACGTGCAGCTTAATGCTCGCGCACATTTACTCACAGGATTGTATAATGTAGTCGGAAATACCATATCCGAGAGCTGATCATCCTAGCTGTCTTGCTAATAATTAGCAGTAGACACCAGAGCCGAATTGGGCTGAGAGGGATGATGATGATGTATAAAATAAAAATATTCTTCCAGGTATTCTCAAAACAAGCCATCATGATGGACACATTGATTGAGCACTTCGCAGGAGAGTACAGAAAGAGGCTCGGCCAGGAGACTCCCAGTGATCACGTTAATTATGACTATCATTCAGGTATTCAATCTATATTAGATGTACAATGAAATATTAATTATTTCAAATTCGATTCGCAACGCCATTATTCAGTATGTATTTGTAACTTTTATCTATGTGGTGTGGAAAGTCCACATATAGCAAAAATATGCTTCGACATCCTTTAGCGAAACGTGGTCAACTACGTCATAATAAGACTCCGGATCGCACAATTACACATACTTAAATGTATTTTTTTATAAACTTGCAGATTCTGGCAGTATATCATTGCCACCACTATCTCGGCCAGACTCCCCACAACGGCGCCTGGCCAACAAGTTGTCGCGCCTGGCGCTCGCCACACACGACGGGCGCGGCAACTTGCTCGGCGGCGCCGGCGACTGGAACATAGACCTGAACCATCCGCAGCCCTCTTGGATATTACCTAAGCATTAGCATCATCTGCGCAGATACGGATCTAAAAAGCATATTGGCCAAAATTAAGATGTCAACAGAAAACGAGCGCCATCTAGTAAAGACGAGTCGAACTACGTTGTAATTACTTATCCTGCATCACGATATGATATGATTTCGGAAAATCAAGTAAGTAATAAATGAAACCTTATAAAATGGTAGTAGAAAAAAGAATTTTTGATTTGTATCATCATTTCTCTCGTTGTCCTGCAAAAGGGATGGCATTGTGTAACAGGAAGCCGAAGAACCTTTCTTTTATTGGTCAAATCAAATATGGTCAAATTGATCAAATCAAATCAAATTGGTCAAATCAAATCAAATATGATTTGACCAATGAGCGCGTGCCAGAGTTGTCCGTCAGATGGTAGTTGAGATGTCAGATGTTACACAACAAATGCAACTGTCGTAAAGCTTACCCAATTTTTTCATTATTTTTCTTGATACTGATCAGTCTGTTTTATTAAATGTTTAAAATTATTATATTTATTTCTTGTTGTTGTAAATAAGACTGGTAATGATCCAAGTTCGTTGACGAGTTCCCGTAGGCAACAATTGCTTTTCAGAGCTTTAGATCTGGATTGTAAATTTCTATATTTATTAAGCTCAAATTGTATCATATTAATTAAGTTGTAAATAAACAAACATTAATTTAAAAATATCAATTTATTTCACAATACTTAACAAATTGTGGCATCTAATCACGACATCACTTGGCAGCGATCGAAATCATTTTTGGGATTTTGGGTAAATAACGTCAGATGTTACTTTTTATATACGCGAGTTGGCTGCCTTATACGGTTGTACTCCTTCAATAGCGGGTGTTTGTTCAGATAGTCCATCATTGCCTTAAACCTTGGTCCCGAGAGGTCCCTATGTCTAGTCAGCCTCACCTCCAAGCTGTGCACTTTGAATGACAGTTCAGCGCTGAAGATAAAAACAACAGATTATTTTTGATTATGTCGGAAAAAAAATATTTCATTTTAGGACATTTTCCCTCCTAGTATATATATATTATGAGGTTTTTCATACATTGTTTTAAACTAATGAAGGGTTTCCCCTGGGTTTACACTATCCGAAATATGTGGGTATGCTGGGAAGTTGATTTTTTAATAAAACACTGACGGAAGAAAAATCATGTAACAACAAACCTATCAGCGAAGTAGGCCGATTCCTTCTCAGGGGTCAGGATAAACTGGTTGGCTAGATACCAAAGCCTTTTCGCCTTGTATTCCGCGTTGTACTGGAATCAAAATTATATAATAAATGTAACATATTGTAGTTAAATTATGGTAGGGCTCACTTATATGTAGTTATTGATTTGTTTTTAAATCCATTAGAAACGGTTTAAATTTTAATTGTGTGTCTGTCTATCTGTAGCATCAGAGCTCTTAATATCCTCATTTAGTTTAGATTTAGCTGATAGGTTACTTGATCTTAGCTATATTTTTCAGCGTTCGATATCATCAGCTCTTTTCTAATCGGTAAAGGTTTTTTTTGTTACTTACTGATTTTGGAAATTTCCATTTCCACTTCCATTAAATACATATTACAATGGTCCTCCAGGCCTAACTTAACTTCAATTTTTTTGCGCAAAATGGTTATTTAAATTACCTCAACTTACCTTATCAAAACGTTTCTGTACAAGGTTCTGTCTGGCCAGTTGTTTAGTTTTAAAGTCGTTGATGCACTGCTCCCTGACTATAGTAGCTTCTTTTACTGTCAAAGGTACGCCAGTACCGTGCCCGGAGCCAAACATACGAGCGAGGTACGGAGCAAGAGGGTCTATTTCTGCTTCCTTCTCTCGCTCTGTCACTTCGGCTTTTTGAGTTTCCTAATGATATTAAATTTGTTATAATGCAATCTTAAATATTTAAACATGTAAGTTGGTTTGTGTACGCTTTAAAAACTCAAACTTGCGCCCATTGAGCTCAACTTTTGACTCGATATAAAATCTGCTTTAAAGATTGTTTTTATAATTTTTTCTCGTTAGTTTTGTTCCCAATTTAATTTGGGACGCAACGCATTGCTTGGCTTCTCTGGATTTTTATAGCAGACTGCTTGCTTGACGTCAACCCTTCTTGGGAATGTAATTTATTATTTTCAGACGATATAAAGGAAGACTATACATTGGGACCAGGAACGAGCGTGGCAGCTAGGTAAAGGGATAGTGTAAGTATGGGATGGGAAAAGGGGACTGGGACTGCAGTAGTTCAAAAAGACTGGAATCCCGTACCGTACCCGTAGGAAAAGGACCTTTTTCAATTGCCCTCATTCAATAGTTATGCTTAGGTATTTATTTTCATGGCAAAAAATATGAAAGTTTAGGCTGTATTTACATATGCTTTGGTTCATGTTAGTTTACTTTTAAGAAATAGTTTTTACAAACTACCTTAATATATCATATTGAGTACTGTGGCGACTCCCAAATACATACAGTGTAACAAAAACGTGTTTCAGTGCCATCTAACGAAGACATCCCAAACTATGGAGTAACTGTTAATTCTGTATCGCGATATGAAAGTTGTCACATCGATTAGCTTAATAATATACAACTTTCCGGCATCAATCGTCGGCCCTCGGTTCGTCAGGCAAGAACACCTTGCCTGATCTTCCTTTTGTGATGGAGGGACATAAAACCCATTCCTTCAAAATATGTATAAACAAAAATCGGAGTGTGATCTACATAAGTACCTGTTCTATCCACCCTTTCTTTGCGGCTTCATTCTTCTCTGTGTCAAAGAGTGCTACAACCATCACAGGCTCCGTCAATTCCTTGTATCTCTGTCTCAGGTACCCGTTGATATCCGTCTCGCGATCTCGAATGAGTTTGTTAGTGTTGTACTCCCACACTATGTTATCACATAGCGCGTAGTACACGTCAAGTGGGCGAGGCGGGCTCGCGGTTGCGTCCGCCTGGAAAAGTAAAAATCGACTTTCGACTGCATGTATGGTGTTATGGTTTAAGCGGTCATCTCGCCGCTTCTACTGCGCTGAGTGTTGTGGGTTCGATTCCCACATGGGACAACACTTTGTGTGATCTACAAATTGTTGTTCTGAATCTGTGTGTTCTTTGTGTACGTTTGATGTATATTTGTAAAACCCCCACGACAGGATATATTCCTAGTGCGGGAGTTGGTTTTTAAAAGAGAAAAGAAAAAAAACAATCAATGGTAACAGAAATCTACATAATGTGTGCGTAACCCCTGATTGACATTCAGAACTTTATTTAAAAAACAACACAGGTAAGTTAAAAAATGGATGTAGGACATGTAGGTGAACTGACCCATCAATACATTTTTGTAGGTCACGGTGAAAAAACCAAATTAAAAGAATATTGGATATGGAATATGGGAATTAAAGGTATGGAAATAAAGTAGAGAGTAGATGAATAGAGAGCTTACCTGATGGTAAGTAACCACCCATGGACTTGACAACAGAATTAGGAATTCTTTTAAGAAAAAAATACTTACGATGTAGCCCGAAGTCTTATCAGGATAAAATAGAATCTTCCCTCCAGTTTCCGCCAAGTTCGGTTTAATAAAGTGCCTGGTATCATTGGTGACGAAATTGTAATCATATTGGTAGAGTAATTGTATAGTATTTTCCTGTATGTGGAATATCTTCTTGTAGACGTCCTTCTTGGCTGGAACGTCGTAGTTTCGACTGTAAGTCTCCGTAATGTCTTTAACATGGCGTTTTGGTTCGGCTTTCGTGCCTTCCGTATATATTATTATTCGAGATTGCAATCTGCAACATTGAGTAAAGAGGGATGTTAGTTGTCATTAAACCTCTAATTGTATTTTTTTTATGGTATAGGGAGGGGGCAGACGGATCCCCTGATGGTAAGCGACTACTGCCGGCCATCAACAGACTAGTGCGTACCTTTTAGGAGTAGAGAGTCCAGAGTCCAGAGGGAGGGGTAGGGTTTGAACTCCAGTAACCTCACTCATTCGGTGAGTGAATTGTTTAACACCAGTTTTCTGCGACGCCGTGGTATCACTCCGGTCGCGCCTGGCCCATATGTGAAGATGCACGGCTCTCGCACAACAAATGCTTTATACTCCGAACTTCAGTCTTTAGCAGAACTAATTCTTACCTGTCCTGCCTATCAGTGTAATGTTCCTCAAAACTGAGCGGAGTGCAGACGATCTTGGTGAGGTGGTCCAACCTGGCGTAGTAGTTGAACTCCATGACGCGGTCGCCCTCAACGCTCGTAGGCGGCGCATCCATGGAGTATGTATGTTCTGGAAATACAAAAAATAACTTTACTTATTACTATTTGAATTACATTCGTTATAATTGAACACATTAACTAATCGTTAAAGAATGGAATAGAACAATTTATTTGCAAAAAATTTGGTAAATTTATGGATGGTACATGAATCACAAAATTAAATTAGTAAATCAAATTACACGACTGCACGGATTACTTTTACTACTATTACTACATGACTGCGCGGATTGCGTAGTGGTTTAAGCGGTCGCCACGCCGCCTACTAATACGCTGAGTGTTGTGGGTCCGATCCCCACATGGGACGACACTGTGTGATCCACAAATTGTTGTTCCGAGTCTGGGTGTTCTTTGTGTGCGTTTCATATATCTTTGTAAAGTCCCCCGCGACACAGGATTTATTCCTAGCGCGGGAGTTGACATTTAAAAAAAAAACATAAAAATCGTATTTAAAATTTTAAAATTAAGAAGCTTAACCAAATTAAACTATGTATACATTAAACACATGGAAATGAAAATAAAACAAGATAATATAATTAATGTCAAATGGTCTCTAACATTTAAAATTTAAAGATTTTTTCAAACATTTAAAGATTTTGCCGTAGCTAAATCATAAGCTTTTCTAGAAGTTGTTTTTTTTTGTTTGGAAAGACAACTCCCGCACTAGGAATATATCCTATGTCGCAGAAAACTTCACAGACACATGAAACGGACACAAGGAACACCCAGACTCAGAATTACAATTTGTGAATCACATAAAGTGTCATCCCATGTGGGGTTTACTTGCGCAGGTGCAGACATGCGCAACTGTTCGACTGACACCGGTTTAACGGTTTTGTGCAGTTTGTTTGCTTCACGAAAAGGACTATGCGGGTCCAGTGACTCACGCATGTGATTAGACATGCACATTAAACTAAAGAAACGTGCAAGTAATTCGTGCATGCTACTGACGCAAAAAACTCGCGTCTTTGCCCGCTTGAGCTAATTGCACCGTGTGGAAGCATTCTATGTTTGGATATGTAGGAACGAACTCTTTAGTTTTTTTTATATTTTGGTACTTATAGAAGTATACTTACTGAGAAGATGATCTCGCCTCCCAATGAGAAATATTTCCCTTACTTCACGCTTTACGTAGTCAAACCTTGCAGTTATCATTTTCTCTTCTCTTTGATAATACCACTCATATCTGAAAATTACGTTTTTAAAGATCTGTAAGACATGTTTGAAAGACATGTACGACTAATGACAGCAACCTCCCCAATTATGACTGTTCAAGTTGACTAGAATGACTATGATTAGGATATATAGGTAGGTACGCGATCCTGTCTTCTTTCAGTTACCGCAGCCTCAGAGTAACTTTTCCAATTCGAGACTTTTAGTAGCCTTTACCCCAGTTCCCTCGTCCTGCCCGTTTTTCTTACCCCAATCTGCCTTCTTCTTTTGACCCTCTAAAAACGATTTGATTCTCAATGAAAGTAATCATCAAGCAGGAAACCGGCTATAACAGTAACCAGCTAACACGCTTCAGATCAATTTATTCCATCATTATCATTTACCATCTACTATCAGACTCCAGATCAATTTATTAATGCTAAGTCATTTAACTCCATCTAGTGAAGAAGTAGAATCAACTCCTAACATAATTTCTTTGTTTTTCCATCTGCTAACTTATAAGATTTGTTTCACATATTCCTTGAGGGTCGTTTTCGTTTCGCATACGAATATTACATAATGAGTAACATTCACTGACACGGGACTAGTATCGTACCGTCGTAATATTGTTACTCATAGGAGTTTAAACCTTATGTATGAAATTAAAATAAAGCCTCTATATAATCCCCTTTATTTTATAAAGAACTTCTGAAGTCATCGCCCAATACAAAATACAAAATTATTTTACTTCAACAATGGTACGCTGAGCGCGTAGTCTTCGAATGTTTGAACTCTTTTAACGATGGCATCCTGCTGGGAGTATGCTGCAAACTTCTCTAGTATTCCCTTTTTGTAGTGAATTACTTTGTGGCTGCCTGGGTATCTGCGTTGATATTCTGTGAGAAGCAACATTTTATATAAACAAATCAAAACAAATCTATAAACAATACTATTACGCGTAAATGATTACAATCCTGGAATTGAAGAATTTTAACATCTTCTGATTTAAAGATAAAGATATACATACTAAATAGCACAAAGTAAATTTAGAGTAGAGTAGATTTAAAAAATTTAGAGGTCATGATTATTTGGATGCACAGTTATGTTTTGTGTGGATTTCAGGCAGTCTGGAAATATTATCCGTTAATTATGACGACAAAAACTAGTGATTTTAAAAGTAATTTTGGGCCTAATTTATTCCTCATGTTCTCGATATTTGAGACCAACCTTCAGTGGATATATCTAGTTTTTCCACCCAACTGAGTGGCATGTCTAGATGCTTCTCAGTGTCAACGGCTGTTTTCTTGTCAGATGTATCAATGCCGACCAGTTGGCGCCTATGACTGGGCTCTCCCGCTAGAAGATGTTCCCAACACTCCATGTCACTGAGGTCGTAGTTTAACTGGCTCAAATCCGATTTCTCGCCTTGGATGTTCGCCTGGTAAAAGAAATTTAAACTGAAAAAATGCTGCACGTGTTCGAAATACCCTATTATAAGTGAATAAAGCGCAAATACTCAAATGCTATTAAAATATCATTTACTCTGTGTAGGCAAATTAGGCATAGCACAGGCTATGCCTAATTTGGGGTCTGATAGCCGTATTTCAGATGTATCCAGGTATGATTAAAATAAAAAAAATACAGCAAATGTTATTTATAGCTAAAACGGAATCGGAGATAGCGTATATACAAGTATCACATAAGGTAATAATTTATTTTCTATGAATTACCAATACATTGTTTAACGTGTTAGACTTAATAGTTTTATGCGGCCACCATTATTTTGAAGGTTGTAGATCCACAGGCGAAATAAATTCTTCCTTAACCTTTCATTTTAAAGACTATTAGACCGGATTTTAATCCTAATTTAAAATATAAAAATAAATCACATAAGAGTACACTTATAAACTCTACACGACCTTGCCCCGAATGCTATCCCCGTTGGATGCTATCATCTAACTTATACCTATCATGATGCTGTATTCTAGAAAACTTAACAGTAGAAGAGAATAGGAGAGTAACTTAAGAGTGCCTTAGCACTCGCTCAGCACCTGCGTAGAAACTTGACCATCATCCTCCGAGCCCTTTCCCAAACTAAATCGGGGTCGGCTTTCAGTCAATTACGACACGGCTGAACTTCAAATTTTGCGTGTATCAGGAGCGACTACCATCAGACCTCCACAACCTAAGCGATATCGAAGTTCTATACCGATAGGCTGTTGTCGGATGTTTAGATCTCCAATACCCGTAACGATTGCCACATGTTTGAATGGCAATCGGGACCGATGGTTTAACGTGCTTTACGAGGCACGGAAGGGTCTCAATTATTGCTTCGACCTATACAAAAAATATAAGGGCTTTGCGAAGGTCGCAGTAGGTTGAGAAATAACGAAAATTCTGTTACAGTAATAATAGCACTACTAACGTAATAATTCTCATTGTTGTAAACGCTTTCGATATGCTGGTATCGTTTGGCGTCGAGGGGGTAGCTGAATCCCTCGCTTGGTTCGATGAAGAATGGTTCTTCGATCCCCATGAGGCCAGGCAGGATAAGAACCCACGCGTGTGTACGCCACCCATCGATATCGTCTTGAGGAGGTTTTTCTAAATCCTACAAAAGATTTTATTTTCCTGAAATTTTTGGTAATAGAAACTATGTATTAAAAAAATCCGGAGTTTCGTTAACACAGTAAAGAAATATTTTAAAAATACTTCATGAAGTAAGATACTGATTTTTAGATAAGTAAAATTTGAAAACTACTTCTTATTACGATATAGAGGGCAACGAGCAAATGCCCTGATGGTAAATAGGGCCATGGACACCCGATCTCTGTCATTATGATATACCTACATATAATAGGAAAATAAAAATTGTTCAGTACTTCTTTCTCCACTGCAGATTACTGATTTCCTTTTTAATTTGTTTATTAACGACTTCCATTGTTTCATTTATAAAAAAGAATATGTTTTCATTACCATCCACAGTCTTATTGAAGTAACAAGTAAAACAAATTTATTTAATTTACAGCGATCTTCTGAAGCCGTTCATTCTCGATTTTGTCAGCCGCTGCTTTCCTCTTCGCTGCCTCCTTTTTCTCCATTTCAACGCAGTAGTTAGAGGTAAAGTCTGGTAGTGGCACCAGTCTATAGCGCGGTTCCGTTGTAGGTGGAGGTGTTTCTTCTATTCTCTGAAACAAAGATCCACTGGGTTAAAGATTGTTAAACTTTATTAATATGCAAATCCTTATTAACGAAACTGAAAGACAACTTTAATGTGAGATAGATGAAAGTTTTGTTGCAATGGCAGAGACAAGTTGGGTGGAAGTAACATACTCGTACTGAACACTGAATTTTTAAATTTGTACAAGACTAGAAGTACTTTTGGTACGAATCCTTGACTGACTTACCATCTTATTGGGTGAGTCGGTTGCGCTTTGCATGAGAGATTTTTTACTACTAATTACTGATAGTTAAAAATTATAATATTAATAATATCATTATATCATTTTATTGTACATCAGATAAAAGATAAAGATCATCATATCCCTTTATCAATTTTTTTTTTATATTGCAGGACAGTTTTCGCTGGTTTTGTTTAATATTGTGTGATGAGCACGATCATTTCTTCTGTGTATTTGTGTAAATTTATCTACGAGTATAATATGTATTTATTTTGAACTATATAGGTATGTTTGTATGTGTATGTTAACTATATAAGAAAAGAAGGAAGAAATGGGAAACGGGATTGTGTCTACAGTGCAGAGACCGTGTTCGCTTACCCTTATTTAGTGCAACTGTACAGGTCACAAGGGCAGGAACATTTAAATCTACTTTTATTATGTTAGTAAAAAGTACAGTTAAAGCTATTGCTTATACAATTGGTAGCTTTATTATACTATGACAATTAGGTAACTAAGGAATGTTTAACTACCAACCTCCGTTTCATCTGGTATTTCTGGACATACAGTTCTGTATCTGACGGCCATACAGATGTCCCTCTCGGCACATCCCACGACGATGTAAGCGTCGTATCCCCCTCCGATGAGCCAGGACACTAAAACAGTGGCCAATTCGAAAGGGTTGCCACTTCGCCGGATGATGGCAGTGTATGGAGACATAAGGCGTTCCGGCTGTAAACAAAAAATTTTTGCGACTGATAAGATTTATCATACCCTTATATGAAAATATCTGATCTAGTGAGTGGTCTATTTTCATCTAGGACAATTAATTGTGTGATGAATAGGCTTATTTTTTTTTTATGTTAGAAGGGGCAGACGAGCATACGGGTCACCTGATGGAAAGTGACTATCGCCGCCCATGAACGTCTGCAATTCAGGAGTCACAAACGCGTTGCCGGCCTTTCAGGAAGGAGTACGCACTTTTTTTTAAGGTTTGAAGGTCGTATCGGTCCGGAAATACCGCAGACAATAACCTGCTCCACAGATGGGTTGTGTGGGGCAAAAAATGTTTCGAAAAGCGCACAGTGGTAGTTATTTCTCCTGTCTGGGTGTAATTTATTTACTATATGTATGCATTTAGAAATATATATGTACCTAGTGTTATCAACACTGTGGTTACCATAGAGCTCAGGCTAATTTGAGATTAGACGAACGCGTGTGAAATACGTCAAGTTTTTAATATTCTGAGGCCCATTCTGAGTTTATTTCACGTCTACTCGATCGTACACGGCCATCATTCAGGCACAATATAGCTATACAGGCAGAATAAAGCTTGAAAAATACACCTCTGTTAAATCTGGTACCACCTGTATTCTGTGCAAATAAATGTTTCTTTCTTTCTTTCGTCACAGTGAGCGCGTTCGGCGCTGCGATTGGCCCGCACTGAAATCTGTACCAATCGCAACGCCGAGATCGAAACCGAGAGCGAGTTGATGTAAATTAACATACACTAAGCCTCCGAACAAGTTTTAAGTTATTATATTATTATTATTTATAGCTGTTGCTAGCTGAGGTGTCCTACTATTAAATTACCTACTAAAGTAAATATTAAAGTCTTTTAACATTAAGACCTTTCATCTTTAATAGTCATGTGTTATCAAACTTTGCGATTAGTTAGTAACAGGATGAGTATCTACTTTTATAAATAAATATGTATAGAATACGTTTTTCTTACTGTAATTGAGTACAATAAAATTGAACTGCAGGAAAACAAACTAGGTACTTATTTTTTTATAGAACAAGGGAGCACATACTCGGTACTCAACCACCTTGGCTTTCTTTTTTAAAAGTGCGAGGAAAGTATTATAGATGGCAATAGCAACTAGTGAACTATAAATTGCGATAGATGGCGTAAGTAATAGCAGCTTCTGTATCTTAGTGTATCAGTATACTACTTACTTATACTTCATCATCAACATCATCACCACCAACAGTCTTTAGTGGTCCACGGTTGGCGTAGACCTCTCCTTATAAAGGAGGTTTGGTTTTTTTCAAGTTTTTATTTTTTAGGAATACTGACTTGTGATTGCGTACACTTAAAATAATTACAAACGTAAGATTTTTTATATTGAAATGTGTTTATAAGCCGCTCCTCCTCTTGGAAATATAAGAACATTCATTAATTTACAGTCAACGTTCAGAGTTTCAAAAGTGACATTATTTGAACAGGTACCTAAATCATATGGGATACTTTCCATTGACCTAGTCCCCTTTTTTTTTTTTTTTTTTTTTTTTTTTCCGTGCGGAAATCCCCTCGGATACCACCTGACGGTGGCATGTCGGACTCGAACCGACTAAAACCGCACGCCTTCGCCGGGTACTAATAGCCGGGGAACCAGGTATACCCTAGAAAGGAAGGCCCTGGTGCCCCGACATACCTCGGGTCATCTACAGACGAGTAGACGACCCCCGCCCCGTGTGGGAACCCCATGTTCCCTGTGCTCCCTGGAAGCGAGCGCGCTTCGCAACGCGCTCCCCGCCATCCCGGCCTGCTTCTGCTAGGGTGACAGATGGCCTCACCTGTCACCCCCAGGCCTGCGCTTATGGAGGACGAAGGTCGTTCTGCGTGACCTAGTCCCCTGAAATTTGCAATAAGCTTGTTACTCAATTGTAGTTACTCAATTAAGCCAGAATAGGTTAACGGATCTGGATGATGGCACATTGATAGATTACAGCCTGGAACAGCACAAAGACTGCTTTTCATCAATACAATGTTAATTGACAACATAAATGGAGACCAGGGTAAAAGCTGGTGCGATGTTATTTGAGCAATATTATATGACTTTATATTTGATATAAATGTATTTTTACATTAACACCCAGGCCAAGTAGATATGTGTCCGTACTCAATAATATATAATCGGCTACAGCCGAATCTTCATGTCACATACGTCGTGAGGAGTAAAAAAGATTTTCAGTGTCATATATTTTTGTCATTGTTTTATAATTATATTAATATTCTGTCATGAATGTGTATTATGTTTATTTTTTATTAGAGATTGTAGTGCACCTACTGTTTAATTTAAAGACCACCAGTATCACCATGTAATAAAACTGTTTTCTTCGGTACTTCTTCGTAATATGTGTTCTAAATATCACAATCCTTCGTAGGTACACGTATTTTTCTTAAAAACGGCTAGAAAGAGTTCTCTTCATGTGCTCATAAATAGAAATTATAGTATTCTATATTTTGGCACTACTCTGAGCATTGAGAACAAAACATTAAGTATCACACAACTACTAATATACTATTTGCCTTGCCGCAAAACTTCATCCATGTTTAGTAAAATGTGATAACAGCAGCCGTGTCGTGATCAATTCTGACCTCATTCCCACACCAATATTTGGCAACCGGCACAAAATGTAAATTGCAGTTTAAAAACATAGTTACTACCAAAGTTGATAAAGCCAATAGCCCTTGACAATAACCTATAAAAACAACAGTAAACAAATCTACAAAAATATTTCCCACGTTTATTATTGTAGGGAATCACAAACGGCCGAGTGGAAGGGCGGGGAGGTGTAGGCGGGACGCCCTCCTCCCACAATTGAATCCAAAGTTGGGGGAAACAAAGTCGGAATCGCAACTTTTCCGACCACAACTTTCACTTTTCAATGAAAACTTTTCAGCGCTTTCACTAGCAAAGTACTTTTTATTCGTTTTAATATTTTATTGACATCGCACTGCGAGTGTGGAGTTCGAGTTAGTTGCACTTTGGTGTTTTGACTGAATACTTTGTGAATGTTTCGAGAAAAGAGTTCCTTTTACAGTCAGAGAGCATTTTATTTGTTTCACGCAAAGATGTGTATAAAATAAAGAGTTCGTTTTGTGTGCTCTTAGTGATAATCTATGTATTTAAAGAATGGTTATTTAATTTTTATGTATTGTAACTGTGTAAACTACAACGGTTTACAATACATTCAGTTACAGTACACACAGATTCGATAAAGAACAGTGATATTCAAACGACTGCTGCTGTATTTTATATTGTTGTGTGAAGTGTAAGAAAAACATTATTTAAATTTTCAACTTACACATACAGTAGATAGGCTACCTGAGGGAGAACTGTCTTCATCACACTAAATAGTAACCGTCCTGGTTAATTTCCGTAAACATAATTATATATCATAGAATCTAAATTTTCTTATTCTTCCGTGAAAGTAAAAGGGTTTTGACAATAATACTACCTTAAGGATCTCCAAACGATTATTTTTACTGCAAAACTCTTTATGCACAGAAAAGGTATGTATTATGTCTCCCCAGCAAGGGTTTTTATTGACGAGGAGTTGCGGTGTACCTTTCCTCTCAAATTTTCTGTAATTCTATTCATTTCGGTCCACAAACTTAGTGAGAAATACCTGTAATATTATTAGATATGCACGTGCCCGTGTATCTCCACTTTGTCGATCTAACTCGTCTCCCCAACTCTGCTGCTTATTAGCTAAACTTTTTCTTCTTATAGAACGGAATTGTTGAGCGTTGAATATTTTGTATTCTTTATTACAATTCACTGCAGTTTTGTCCTTACTTTGAATTGTTTTGTATTTTGCGACTTGTTCCGAGTACAATATATTTGTGTTTACGAAACTTAAGTAGGCACAATTTAATTAAAGAAGTTGAAAACTATTGGTTATTCACATCATGAACAACCTTTAGTATGGACATAGGCCAGTGCTGTTGTCCTGCGTAGTTTGCTCCCTTAGTCGGCTCTTACGACACCCATGGGATGAAGAGGGTTGGTAACACTCCGTATTCTTAAACCCTCACCACAAGGAGAGTTTATTGTTTTAAATATCACAGCATCACATCAACAGCCTTTAATAGTCCACTGCTGGACATAGGTCTCTCCTTAGAAAGGAGGTTTTGGCCTACGATACCATGCTGGCCAGACGGGCTGGTATAGGGTTTGTGTCAACTTAGTCGGTCCGAGTCCGACACACTACCCCGCCGCAAACCCCGGTGGGGTGACGGTCCGAGGGGAAAAAAACACGTAAAAAAAAAGGGTTTGTGTCAACTTTTCCTTCTCTCTGCAGTGCTGTTGTTCTGAGTAGTTTTCTCCCTTAGTCGGCTCTTACGACACCCACGGGATGAATAGGGATGGTGACACTCTGTATTCTCAATCCGTCACCACACGGACGAACATATAATATAATACTTTAAGACCATAACCGCTGTCTAGTGGAGAAAGTTAAAAATTAAATGGTCATCAGTTTACGAGTAGAACCTAAAAAGTCAGTGATACACTTTATAGGTTAATAATCACGAATAGGGAATATGCACGTGACACCAAAATGGACAAAATATTTTTATTTGTAATTTTTATTGCTAAAAAAAGATACCCATACAATTATTTTTGAAATTATTATAATTTAATAGTGAAATTTAATCATCAAAAATTGTCTTTTTTAAGATTCCCTCGCAAATTTCTAAAACGCAACGCTATTGGTTGAATAAAATGTGACGTCAACCTACACTGTCAAGAGTGTCAACAAGTTGTGTGTATTTGTAATATTTGGTTTCTGGTGATTATTTGTTTCATTTTAAGTTAATAACTAATACGTTTTCAGTGTTAAATTATTAAATTCCCGCGTAGAAAGACTCAACACAATGATTGAATATACTTTGTCAGGTTAGGTACTGTTGTGCAGTTTTGATATTATTTGGGCACAAAGGAACGGCACAATATTTATAATAAGTTTTTATTGGCTTTTCCATGGTAATAAGTTAATTTTTATTACTCACTTTTTTAATTTTCACAAACTTTGTGAACTTCACTCCGTTGTTGACATCGAATTCGTCTGAAAGTGTAATCTGACATCACAAAAAAAGCGCGCCAAAATGGACGTGTTCAAATTGCCCCAAAATGATAGGGATTTTAATAAATTTTTTTTTGCTTAACGGTTTATATTTTGGATGTGTTATATTTATTTTTGGTAATGTAATAACTAGTAGAATCGTTTAAAAAAATTAAAAAAATACATGGATATTCCCTATTGTCATATCGTAATTTTCAAGTACTTATTATTAGTACTTATAATTGCAGAAAAAAATATTATTATAAAAGTAAATCAATTCGGATTGATGTATGGTTATTTAATAAAGACAAACATTAAGATAAGTACGACGTATACACGTTTGAGCGATTAGCGATAACAGTATCGCTAAAAATTCGTTTAATGCATTGATATAATACTTACATAGATGAGTAATTACCGCCTAAAATCGTTGCTACTGCACATCTGTCCACAGGCATATGCGTAGCAAACGTCAATTCAGTATTCAATGTGGCGTCAACCGAGTTGAACATAGCGACACATGACAGTAACAATCGCCAAAATGGCTAAATGCGTAGTGAAAGAATGCGATTCAAGGTCACAAAACATTAATAAATCATGCGGAATTACTTTTCATGTGTAAGTTTATGGTTTTTGTATTGATAATATCGTAAATAAGGCTATAATTGAAATAAAACACTGATAATTGTAATTTAGAATCAGTGTTACCATTAAAAAATAATTTTGGTTTTCCCACATTAGTGGGAGAATTTATAATTTATGAAATAATATGCTTTATACTGTTTTTAAACATTTTGCCAATAATAATAAAATATAGGAAGAACGGTAGTTGTTAGGGCTGGACCGATCACTTTTTTTAGGGACCCGTTGAATGTTCACTGCGAGCTTGGCAGAAGTGCCAAGCTCGCAGTGCTGGAGACTTTTGTACAAAAGAATTAATTCATTGTTTTTCTTAATTTATTTTCAATTTTAAATAATAATTGTACAAAATAATAATAATAATAGGTAATAATAAATGTTTATCATAAAAATAAAAAAGTAAATAAACATAAATATTTTTTTTTATAAAATATAAATAAAAAAAAAATTTTTTTTTTATTTGTTTTTTAAATTATAATAGAATTTGCAATACACCCTGGGGATTATTTATTATCAGTACAAGTTGATCATTCACTTTTATTATTAAATGCTATTATTTTTACATACGTAAAAATAAGATTGTATCATGAAAGTAAAATATCCACACAAACTTATAAAAAAGAGTCTAAAAGACAATTGTATACAAAACTGATGCTTCACAGCGCAGTTTGATTTTACACTGAATATAAACCCCTTTTAACCAAATATTTCCAGTTATTTTATTATTTACACCTATTCTATTAAATTCGAAATATATTATTTAGAATATTTAAATTAATTTATTTTATTACAAAATTGTTTTAAAAAAAAATTGTTTCTTAGTTGTTATGGGTAAAATTTCATACGGTAGTCAACACTGGCCCACCATCGTAAAGTTATATATTTGTCTTTGTCTAATCCGAGCGATGGTATTGTTCTTGTCTCGCGTGTAAATGAGACATAAATATGTTTACTTTCAAATGTTTAGTGGTATCAAAGCTACGTCGTCAAAGTTCAAAAATGGTTACACTTTTTTCGACGTGTGATAATGAGGTTTGCTTCTCTAGTGTTGTTTTAACTCAATGGTTTAATGCGTATTGGAAGAACCCCATAAATATGTATTTCATGACAAATGTTGTAACTAAGATGCTATGGACTCTCTTATTTGGAAGTTATTTGGAAGTGATCACATTGATTTCTCAACGAATTTTAAAATACCTGGTGTAAAACAATGTGTCATTTGCCAAGTTATGTTTCTGTCTGTGTCTTCTATCTGTGTAAAAAATACAGACTTCCCTGAATTGTTAAAGATTCTCATTTAATTTACGGCATTTGCACGACTTTAAAATATGTACAATGGCTTAAGCATTGTTGAAAAGAATAGAAAGGAATCGCAGATAAAAAGTTAATTTCTATGCTGATTTCATTGGCACTCGAAGAATTTGATTAAATTAAACTTATTCTTGCGGATATGTGAGGGAGCTTGACCGCCGCAGATTAAATGTTCCGGAAAGCGTCGCGACTGAGGGCCGATGTGACTGATGAGCTCATCAAGCTTCCTTGAAGGAAATGCCTGAGGTTCTGTAAGGTCAACGAGCCGTGTCTTTTGAAACTCGTGAGTGGATGATATCACCCACTAGAACATAAATTATATGGTATCTACACAAATAATTGTATCAAACAATTACATAATAAAAATTATTATGCTACAGAGGACACAAACAATCAAGTATATGGCGACGGTAAATCATCACCTTGAATTTGACACCTTTTTCCTTGAAAATGTTCCTAAATTTCCAACCTTTTTTTTGGCGCATTGGTTGTCTAAAGTTTTAGCGGCGTTACAGGTACATTAAAAATACCGGGAGTACCTACAACAAGCATAGAGGAAGCTCCTTAATATTTAAAACTTTTTTATTTTTAATAAAACCTAGTCCTAACCTAGTAATAATCCTTTCTCTAGAAGCTATTCTCGAAGGTCCATTTTTGTGTTTTCATTTCTATGCCATACATTTATTTGATAAGCCAGATTTTTAGTATAGTGTGAGTGTTGATCTATGACTAAGAGTCTAAATAAAAGATAATTTACAAATAAAATTATCGAAATAAAGATGTTTAAACTTTATTATTTCGGACTTTTCGGACGTTTAACACACAACGCCATCTAGTTTCAAACTAAGCAGAGCTTGTACTATGAAACCTAGATTTGCTGATAGAATACTTATGTACTATTTTTGTAAATAAATTCATATTATACATAGAAAACACCCAAACTCCGAAACAAATATTTGCAGGTCGTAAAAACATTTGGTCTGACCCGCGAATCGAACCCAAATGCTTTCCTATTACGTATTAGATAAACTTGTAACAGTATTACAGCTTTTATTGATTAGCTGAGAAGTCATACAATCGAACTCAATTCAATAAGCTTGATAAACCTTTTTTTCTGGATACCTAATTAACTTTTCGCTAATTAATAGCTATGCGCACACAAGCATCGTAGCGCTAGAAAACAATGTCAGCCTCAACTAACAATGAATAAGAAATAGCTGTGCACAGAGGCTAAAAGCAATAGGTACATATAATATTCAACACAAAATGCGCAGCGTGAGATGTGTGCCAACGTACATACTGCACGGCATGGCGAAGCCTCGGTACGGTAACGGCAGCGCAAATTAGACCGTGCCACGCTCCTCGCTTTGAGTTGCGCTTGACCAAGCGTTATTCGGATTTGGAACAAGACGCCCACCGCACTAGAGGTGCCCCCGGTATCGATAGAGGGAGCATCGATTGTGGGGGCACCTCGCGAGCTGGCGACGCGTATAGACGCCACTCATGCGAGACCGTGCTGCGCCTCTAATTGAATACGTTGTGATGCTGTCGATAAAGTTTTGTCGATAATTTAAATTCTTAGTTTTAGTATTTGACTCTTTATCAGAGTAAATAACTTTGTTTACATGTACTGTCTCAAGAACTTGATAAAATATACTAGACAATCAAGGACAAAAGATCTATTACATCTGCATCTGCCGGACAATATCTTTGTCTACCTATGTATTATCATCATCATCAGTCTTTAATAGTCCACTGCTGGACATAGGCCTCTCCTTAGAAAGGAGATTTAGGCCTACTATACCACACTGGCCAGACGGGTTGGTATACGGTTTGTGTCGAGTTGTCCTTCTCTTTACAGTGCTGTTACGTAGTTTATTCCCTTAGTCGGGTGGTGCCACACCTGGGCCTCAATTCTGCTATTTTATGTTAACGCCATGCCTCTGTCATTCCATTGACACGCTATTGAGATGCCATTGAAATCGATCAAAATATCAGTATTCTACTAACATAAATTATAATTATAAGGTTTTTCTTTTCAGATAACATAATTATATTGGTTTGTTATATAATAGTTAAAGATTTAAGATCTGTTAGTTGTCGTTAATTTAATTAACTAACTAATCACTATTTATTAACTATTGCCTGGTGTATTTAGTTTAATGCAGACGCTATCCAATACTGATGTCGATTTTATCAATGTCCGAATTATCAAGTATTTATAATAATATGTATAAAGGTGGAGTAAACATTTTGCGTGTAAACTTTAGGTATAATTTTCTGTCAAAGTAAAGATGAATCTATGATGAAAGTGATTACTTCAGTGTTTTGGAAAGCCATGAGATTATTTAAGTGTTTGTATATTTTAAAAAAACACAGCTCGACTTTTTAAATTTATTATACTTTTTAGTTCAATGGTTTTTAATTTTTCTTATTATATGTTATTATTATTGCAATCAAATTCCATCTATTTATATGTTACTACTTTACATATAAAGTGATTGACTATGAAAATAAAGTTTTAGGGCATTAAAATATTGTTAAAGAGACTATTTAAATCACACAACCGACCTACATAGCGGCACGATACGAATAGTGCACAAAGCATTAACTATTTTTTATCGACAAATAAAACTAAACTATGCAAAAGGAACGCAGCGCACCGCTCTCCAAGAACGGCAGTCCACGCGAGTGATTTGCACCACCCGCCGAGCGGTCGCGACGTTCACTAGTGATGTGCTACGACATCAGAGTCCTTCGATATCGACAAGGGAGCGTTAATGTTTAAATATATAATTAAATTCAGTCCAGATAGATTAGTGACAGGGAAATTGAAATACAATTCAAAGTGACAGAAGTCTCTAATTTTACACTTTGCTTTGTTTGTTATTTATGCTTTTGTCTACATTGTCTGTGACCAAAATTGTTTGCCTTTTAATGCCACCCGCCTCACTTTATTTAAACGTGTCTTATTGTCAATAGCCGCTTCTCGGCGAGGGAGCACTTGATCGTGGGCAAACAATGGAGTGTTTTTGTCGTTGCCGCCGAGCTGAGAGGGCGAGTGTTGTCCGTGGCGACGGCCGCGGATCGATATCGCTCGAGATCTGTCAGCCTACGCGCCCGCCTCGCCGGCCATTTGCCTACCTCGACGCCTCAGGCTCGTGTGTACATAACCCGCCGCCCACCACCCCCGATACACCCCCGCAGATTACCGCCTACAAAGCAAACTTCATTGGGACGTGCATGCAATATGCGCAAGGAGCTGGTCGAATTGCACCTCGACCGGCCACCCGGCCAGATTGCTTTGATATCCAACTCGTCCTCGTATATAGGCCACCGCATCTCAAATTCCAGGTAAAGGTCTCTATTTCAAACATTGTGTCGGTATGTACCTCTATATAGCTCTGGCAATCGTGTTAATTACTCATAAGATACAGGCGGTATTGCCTACGGGTCGTTTCTGTTATATCTATCTACGATCTTTGATACTGTTTCATTTGGTTTCATGAAAAGCTGGTACATTGTTTGAAAATAACCGATTGATTTGCATTACTAAAACTCCAGACAAACGACTTTTCTAAACTACTAACATACTAAACTAAGCTAGTCGTATATTGATGATCTGTATACAAAATAAAAAAGTCTTAAATCAAAGTTCCTTTGTTCGCCAGTACTAAATGAAGTGCAAAAACAACATGAAAACTAAGTTGACACATCGACTAGCATCTTCTAAAAAACTATGTACTTCCTCGCGAATATTAGTAAGTTTCAATTTGAAAGGGGGAGTGCCAGGGAGCGCCAGTAAATCGGCCAAGTGCAGTCCTCCCGGCCCCCGTCCTCTAAAAGAGGGAAAGTTCACATTTGCATGCCTCGCGTCGCAAACTTTGTAGTAACTTTGATGTTTTGTTTGAGCAATAGTTCGGTGCTGATCATTGTAACTTTGTTTTGTTCTTCTGCTACTTTTTGTGTTTCATATGAATGATCGTACCATGAACAGTTTTTTTAATTAAAATCTTTACATTCTTAATAGATATTTTGACTACTTAGTTGGACTTTTATACGAATCGAATCGAATCGAGTGAGATTCAAAGTACTTAATTTATAAGCGACTTCAAATCGCGACTCTTGACGTATTTTTTCTTTGTTTGTTACGCCAGAACTCCAACATTTAAAAACTGATTTTGTTTTTGAGAAGGGTGTACCTTTCTTTTGGTCTCTGAGGTGAGAAACAAGGAATAAAGAGTAGATAGTTTATTTCAATTCATTTAAGTCGATAATACAATTTAAAAAGTTAATGATACACAGCTTTAATTAGGTTATACCATTCAAAAGGCTTTGAAACTATTTTTAAACAAGAAACTTCAAGCTTCAATAAATCAAAAGATATTTATTTTTATTGTTTACCATTTTAACGACTTAATCTCTGTCAGATTTGAATGATTTGCAAGGGACAGTGTTTCTTAAAGATTAAAGTAAGCCATAAATCATGCTACAACCCTCAGAAGCGTAGCATTGAAAATAAACACGCAAATGTGTGGGAACGGTTAATATCTGTGTAATATTAATTTTAACCCGTTTGTTTTTTATATTAATAAGTATTTAAAATCTTTTAATTAAACGGAACACTATTTTCATATAATGGAATGTAATACCATAAAAAACCAAGCAAATTACATCACTCATTTTGATCACATTCTCGCTTAGAAAAATCTTCACATGCTGTGTGTGATTCTCCTTTGACCCAGAACCTAGAAATTTTCAGGCGATTTATCTGAATACACGCAGTTAAAATCATTTTTTTAATGAAGTACGGCTTCTCATCTATGGGTCTAGTGACAAACGCGTGTCAAACTTTTGGTCCTCGCCTTATATGATTTATACATCTTGAAGGTTGCATTTTATTTTGCAAAGAGAAAAAACTAGCAAACCTTTAAATATATTGTAGTTTCTATCTTGACAAGTATATATGTTAATAGTAATTATAGCAATAAAGATCTACTTTATATTCATTAACCGACTCCCAAAAGATGGAGTCCTCAAGTCGTTTAAATATTTTTCATGTCTAGTGTAAATATAAACTGTTTATAAACTAATTTACATACTTCTATTTCAATCCGTTGTAATCCCATTTATATTTCATGAAAATATGTCAACTATAAAGGTATGAAGAAGTCAGTGATAAGTTTTTTAAATATATGGTTTTTTATATTTATATAATAATAAAAATATTTTGGGACATGAGATGACACACAGCGCCATCTAGTTTCAAACTAAGCGGCGCTTATACTATGTAAGCTGGATTGATTGAGACAATGCTTACATACGTTTTTTTGTATATTTGCAGATCATATAAACATTTGGTCCGACCCGGGAATCGAACCCGAGACCTTGGAACGGCAGTCGCATATGCTACCACTGCGCCACCGAGCCAGTCTAATCAAATCAGGCGTTCAAAAGTCCACTTTTTGACCACAATAATTTTAAGTCCACTTACGTAATAGACTTGCCCCCTATGCCAAGCCTATTGTCGTCAACGTCCGCTCATATATTTATAACTAAACAATGGCAAAGAAAAAAACACAACTAGATTCAGTTAATATTTAATGTTACGGATAACATCGCAACTGGGGAATAATGCTACTAACCCGATTATTGTGCTCATCACACAATACTTGTATTTGTCCTCGGTGGGCCTCGATCTCACATCCTTTCGTTTAGCGGTCAGACTATCAGGCCAGGTAAGTTTATGACTATGGGAAGAAATCTCACATGTCCATAATTGTTTAACAACTAGTTAATTAGGCTTTCAGCTCTGTTTAAAACCTTGTAACCCTATATTATTGAACTGCTTAATGCCCTGCTCTGCTTATTTGACATGCTTTAATGATCTTATAAGGATATAAGTGATAATCTGAGGACACTTTTTTACTTTTCCATTTTCCTTTTGTCTCGTTTCGTCTTTTAACGTGGATAAAAAATGAAGATTAAATAATTTCAATCAATATCTTTGAAAATATACCGTTTTAAAAAAATATATAAATAATGCAACTAACAAAAATATGAGGTTATAGATTTTCTTATTAATGATGACTATATCCTAAGTAGTATGTACTTATATGTTTATACATGTGTAGACTGTCTAGAACTTGTAGATGTACTACACTACTACATTCCAAAATTGTTTAAACGAACGTTCACAAAAGTACCTATCTGATAATCTATGCAATCTGAATAATCTGTGCATTTCAAGATCTAGAATTAAGACCAAAATATAGAGGCAGAGATAAATGATATCAATTGCGTAAGATGTCAATTGTGTAAGAATGTAAACAAGCGTCCATTGATTTTTTATTTCGGCTAATGTCGGTCATCGGTAAAATGTAAAGAACTCAGGTAGTCATTCACAAGCCCGAAAAACAACAGAATCATCCATACAAATTGTTATCAGCACAGAAAAAATTAACAAGCCAACTCTCCCCTGCTGTAATAAACACACCGAAAAACAAACAATAAAGAAGTGAATGGAATGAGTACGGCGGCTGAATGCGAATGAATGGATAGACATAGAGTATAGAAGGAACCAGAGACAACGTGCCATATATGAGAGAATATTTTAGCGTATTTCAATAAAGGCGACATCTTTAATCTAGGGATCGGGTAGGGGTATAAATCTTGCAGGTTCGGGGCCAGTTTTGAATCATTTAGCGCGGTGTGGCCGCGGGGCGCGACTTCCGTCCGGCACGTGCTGGACTTGCCTCCCGCACGTCCTGTTCACCCCTCGCGCCACCCGCACGCCCCGTGCTGCGCGTCTGTCTTGTCGAGACAAAGGGGCGCTAGAGATGTCACCAAACGCATCTTATCGATACTCCTTTTCTTTGTTTAATTACCTATGAAAATAATTATTTAATGTTTTAGTGAACAGGAAGAAATATTTATTTATTATAGAATAATCTTAGGCTTTGTTTTGTTTTTGAAGTTTTATTTTGCATTGAAGAAGTTAGATGGTAATCGGTGAGAAAAGCATGTTTGGAAACCTCTCTTTAACTTAAAACACCGGCTTTTGTCTGCGGTTGTCCTTGCGTTAATTTCAATTTCTTAAATCAATTTTTTTTTTCGGGCTAAAAAGTAGCCTTTTTGCTGTTCCAAACTATAAACGATTTCTATGCTAAAATTCATCCCGATCCGTTGACCTAACGTGATTGAATAACAAACCGCCATCCTAACTTTCGTATTTATAATAGTAGGAAGCTTAGGTTGGGTTTTACTTAAAAGTTAAAGCTAAAGTTGAGAAATATTTTTATATATTTATAGTGTATATATTTAAAGCTATTAAAATCATTAATAAATATTCAAAGTAATTAAGATGTGCTATAGTATATACAAGGTTGAAAATATGAGATTATTATAAAAAATCCTCATATCCAGCTTTAAGTTTTTAGTTTATATCGATGTAGCAAGTTAGATATGAATACAACATCGCATCTCTAGTGCACGACGTCCGAGCCGCCTCTAATTTGAATTCACGGAGACTCCGCGACCGTCCGCCGCGTCGGCCGCGCCCGACTTAATGAATCGCGAGGGGGGAGAGTGGGTTGACGCCACCCCCTCTGCCCCCGTAGCGTCACCCAGTGGGGGGTGATCGGACGGCCACCGCATCCTCCGCGCGGATAAGTGACGCCCGTGTTGCTCCGTACATAGGTACGCCTTATGTATTGCGGCACATAGCGGCCGGCCTGTACCTACGTAACGCTCGCCAAATTTATGTCCCGCACATGTCTAGAGACCGCGGCCGTACCTTCACAGGGATTTTGCGTGTTTACGTACAAACGGGAGTCCGCTGAAGATATTTGAGATGGAATTTTGCTTGGACCCTTATTGATGATCCGCTTGGGTTTCGCTAATCCCGTCGTTGAGAATTCAGATGTGGAAAATTTTTGATATTTTCAGAAGGGACCAGTGACATATTGTTTTGATATAACTCTATAGTAAGGATGTAAACATAATTTCAAAGGAAAATACCCTTCGAACGCATCTCGTCCTAAAGGTTAACTGGAGCCAAGGGTTTAACATGAAATAATGCTAATGTGCACCCTTGCGAGGTAGAAATATAGCCTCGGGATTCACTGCAACTGCTATGCGACTCGTAGGTCGCTGCAAACAAAAACTTGCTAATGGGCAATTATGCAAATAACTAGTTCGTGATGACCAATCAAATCGCAGTAAATTATTCATACGATACGTATACGCTTGGGGTCATTTTCAGTTCGGTTTTATTGATAAGTTGTTTCATCTCAATATTTTTTAAATTTGCTCACACAAAACTTTTCTAAGCACAATACCTAGCAATACCAAGAAAAC